ACACACACCTGATGTAGAACACATATTTTTATCATTTCTGAAATGACAGGCCAAAGCAATGAGCTCCTTCACCAAACTAACCAAATACAGCAAGAGAGGAATCCTGGTTTTGAGCAGGAAAAATGAAGCTATTATGGTACCTGTGAAAGAATGTCCTTTAATTTTTTGAACAATCAATTTAAGTTCCATAATTTGTATTATTTCTGATATTGTATAGAAATACTATAGAACTATATCTCTAAGCAGACCCTAAGCTTCTTCTAACACTGTTTTAGGAGCTATTTGGTTGTTCTTAGGCTGTTTTATACCAGCTGTCTTTATTATATAATGAGGATTATAATTGGTAATTTTATTCATCCTATCAAATTACAGTGCATGTTCCTCTGGAGTGGAGAAATAAAGACCAGATTTGGACCTTAAAAAAAAAAAGAATTTATCCTAGTCATACCTCACAACATCAGGATCAGTCTGAATTTTGCAATGTGATTCAATAAACAAACATGCATAGTTGGGAACGTATATATCATGTTTTGCACTCAACAAAAATATTTGCAAGGAGGACATAAACTAGGAACATAATACAGGTATTAGGGAAATGTAGATATAACATGTAAACCAAATGTGTACCAATTTCATATAACTATTTTCTTCTGCCAATGCAAATTTTATTCATTAATGGGTCAAGAACAAGAAACAGCAAATTGACAGATTTGCCAGTTCTTCTTCTCCTTTTTTTTTTGCAATAATTTTATTACAGATTATAAAATTAAAGATAAAAGACTAACGCAAACTAAAGAAAAAAATAAAAAGTAAAGACAAAGAAAAGTACAGAGATAGAAAACAAAAGAAAAAAAAGAAAAAGAAGATATATAAAAGATTATTTCCCCCCTCTGCCCAAACATGTATAAACAATTTAGTAACTTACTACTTTCTCCAATATTTTTCCATTCTTTCTATATGAATAATCTTTCCCTTATGAATAATCAAATGGTAAAAAGCTTATCAGCAAAAGTCTATTAAGAGCTACCAAAAATGTTAACGTATATAATTTAATCAAAAGATATCCATTTTGATCTATAATAAAAAATCCATTTTGTTATCCAAACTTATTGTTAAGATATAAAATGAAAGGAATCCCTCCCCACTTGTAAATAGACAGATTTGCCAGTTCTGTTGCCTTTCTTTTTGAATCAAATCAAATCCAATAAAATATCAGACCCTATGTTTTTTCTTTGAAGCATTTTTTAAAAAAACTACTCATCTTGACAATTTTTATAATGACCTTCAGAACGTTAACAGGAATTTAAAACAGCTGAATGAAAAAACATCAATTTGTCATATGAAAATATGGATTCTTGGAAGAGGTATCTCTAATACTCCCCCGATGTTTGACAATCAAAAATATGAATGTATTATATGTTATCTTACTAATCAAAATTAGCTGAAAATTACCTCTAACTAAACCACCTTACTTCTATTTAGGTGAAGAAGGTAAGTTCTTTGAGAACAAAGGTCATGAAAGGTAGGATTATAGCTTCATATTGAAGTTCATTTATTTTTATTATTTCGTCAAGCATGTATTAGATAACATATATAAGTAGAAACATGATTTGAATACATGAAATGGATACGAATAAAAAGGAACATTAGGACAGGGATTGTAGGCATATTGGTGCCCTCACGCATGCCCCTTACAGACCTCTTAGGAATGGGGTGAGGCCGACAGTAGGCAGTCTTAAGGTTAAAGTTTGGGGAGTTGGGGAAAAAACCACAAAGTCAGGTAGAGCATTCCAGGCATTGATCACTCTGTTGCTGAAGTCATATTTTCTGCAATCGTGTTTGGAGCAGTTTACCTTAAGTTTGAATCTATTGGGTGCTTGTGTATTGTTGTGGGGTTTTTTTTTGGGGGGGGGGGGTTCAATAAAAGATTGAAAGAAAAGGGTAGGCTTGCACAGAGAACCATATAATAAAGAAGGAACCGCAGAACAATGCGGTGCTGAGAGAGTCTATACACCAGTGGGAAATTAAAGGCCAAGGGGGCCTGAAAACACTTGAACGGGATGGAACCTCCATCAGATACATTCCAACACTTCCTTCTTTAAGAAGGAAAGAGTCAATGCTTCAAGGGAACCATGTTGATGCATTTCAGGTGATTTCTTCTGCATGCTAGAATAAGAAAGCTTCAAACAAAGATCTCCTTATTCTGGTGCCTCACAAAAAGCCGCATCCAGCATACAAAGCAATTATTTGTTCAGCCCTGTTCTCCGGTGAGATAATTGCATGAATTGTGATGTGTGAGATGAATCTCCAAAGACAATATTTTCAGCGTTCTATTCATCCTTAAGATGAAAAGGGAGAGAGTAGAGGAAAGGAACTATGAGTTGTGCCTCCAAAGGAGGCTCACTCCTCAGCGTATTGCATACTTAACCACCACAGGGCATCTCTAAGCAGCCAAAAGAAAAAAAGGAAGGATTCTGCAAGATTTATTTGGTTTTGTTATACAAGATGCTGGCCGTAAAGAGCTTTTGTTAAACCTAAAGACTTTTATGAACATAAAATCAAATTAAACAGCACATTAAGGGTTCTATCTTTTCTGACTGATGTGCACGCGCAAACAACTCTCATTAACAGTAATGGCAGTTACACACGCGCATCACTTGGAGAACAGATCCCTAAGTGCTTTATTGTTTTTCCTGGAGATTTTTCTCTATTGGACTTTAATTAAGCTCCTGCTAGGCTTACAAGTTTTTCTTTTCTTTTCTTTCCCCAGGTTTTCGTTTTTCCAAAAGAAAACAAAAGTGAAATCAGTTTCTTTGCCAGATAAGATTTCTCCCCCCTCCCATTGTTACAATGATGGCAAAGATATTAAAATTAAAAATCATTTAGAAATAGGACACCTGTTCTGAAAGGGAAACCACGCCACCCTGAAATAGATTTGCCAGACTGATAGGGGGAAAAGAAAATGACTTGGCCTGTGATGCTAACAACAGCTTGATTGACACAAATCAGCAGGTGAAACTTTTAATGCTTTTGATGTTAATAAACCATGCTGTTGATGATACAGCTGCAGGATGGCAAACCTAAGTTGTTATTATTATTATTATTATTATTATTATTATTATTAATAATTAATAATAATAATAATACGTTATGACGTCCTAGGCCCCTGGGTGGGGCCCGACTAGTAACCAATGCCAAATCCGGCGAAACAACTGGCCGCTGTGATACAATTGTATAATAATAATAATAATTATTATTATTATTATTATTATTATTATTATTATTATTATTATTATTATTATTATTGTACTTATACTATATTATA